GGGGTGACGCCCGAATCCTCACTGCAAATGTGAGACGAATTTTTGAGCGGGTAAAGGTTGCCCCTAAGGTGACCCGCCTACTTTGCGGGATGCCTGGGAGTCGCGATCTGCCCGTCCCCTATAAATTAAAAAAAAAAAAGTACACGTTTTTGAAACGCTTTTATTCCTCAGTGGCTAGTGACGCTATCTTTCAGCGTGGGAAACTTTTCATACATAGTGAGCCACAGTGGTGGTTAGTAGTGACAAGTACTGTCCTCGGAAATTCCTCAGGTCCCGCTTGCTTTGAGGTTTTCATCGTGTGATGTTGGTTTGGGTGAAAGCTGCAATTCCATTGGTCGCAGGATTTTCCCAAGCAAATCGCTCACGATTCTGCGCCTCTCCGGTAAAATGGGACAAACGACGCTTGCCATTGGGCAGTTAACTAGTCCGGTTCGTTACTGTTCCATATGTGCCATGGCTCTTCATCTTGCACCCTCAAAACCTAGCTGTTAAGACGCTGGGTGGGATCCTCTCTTGCCCTAACCTAGATAAGTTAAAAGATTAAAATGGTACTTTTTCCCGGAGCCAGTACAATGAATCATTAACTGTATCATTTAATTCTGGGATGGTGTCTCTCCCCTGGGCTTTGGGACCTTCTTGGGGTCTTTCGTTGTCCAAAGACAAGGATCACCTGCAGTTAGGGGTGGGGACTGAGGTGGGGCAGCCCAGGGGCACTTCGGGGTCCTCCCAAGATCCCCTGCTTTCCTGGAGGGGAGAGTCCCTTTACACACCTCTGAGCCAGGCCTTGGGTCTGTCTGGGGACGCACAGGACTTTGGTGTGAACAAGCTGGAACCTCCAGCAATGCAGCTGGGCAGCAGCCAGAATTCCACTCCAAAGTGTTTGGAAATTGACCCTGTTGTCCCAGGAGTGCACTGCACACATGGGGCTGGGAGAGTCCGCAGGGACCTTGCATCTATGCCAACTGCTGTCCCTGTGGGGTTCTGCCTCCTGGGGCACTTGGGCTCAGTGCTTGCTTAATGATATATGCACAGTTTGGTGTAAATGATTCTTTATTGCTCTTTCATAAGGTAGTTGCAGCTTTGTGTGGATCTACTGAATTCCTTGCATAGGAAGGTGGTACTGCCTGTGAGCTCTTTCCAGGAACATAAAAGGGGCAGCTGGAAACGTTATTCAAGTGACCTCGGCCTGGGAGGAAGGGGACTCAGCTCACTGAGTGAACTGACCTGGTTCACTAATTGGTTCTGTTTTTGAGGTGCTGGGGATTGAACTTGGGGTCTATCACCCAACCACAGCCCAGCCCCCTCAGCCTTTTGTGGATGGGGACACTGAGGCCAGAACTGGTCCAATTCCTCTTGTGGACTCGAGCAAGACCAGTTTCAAATCCTGATATTCTGGCCCTGTTTTCTCATCCTCAGACGGGACAGGAATGAGACCTGGTGTGTGTCAAGTGCTCCAAATAGTCCCTGCACACAGTATGGGGAAGGGCCATGGGGGCCTGCAATTCCTAGGCAGTCATGGCCTTGCTCCTGTATGTGGCCCAGGACCAGGGGCAGTATGGAAGAGGGGCCATAGCTCTCAACCCCTGAAGACGGGGACATTTCTTCCTGCTCCATTCCACTCCAGCCTCCCTGGCCCTCACCACTTCCTCTGCCCCAGGACCTTTGCACCTGCTGTTACCACTCTGTGGAACACCTGCCCCAGTGGAATCGGCTCCTTCCCTTCTTGGAGCTCATGTGCATCTCCTGGGAGGTTTCTGCAGCCCAGCTTTAAGAACATTCCTCCCCTGGGCCTTGACCTATCTGCTGCCTTGAAGTCACCATCCTGCAAATGGTACGTCCTGTTGGTGTGCAGTGTCCTTCCCAGTGAATGCCAGGACCAGGGGGCAGTAACAGGAAGGGGACCCAGTCGAGCCCCACACGTGGGCCCAGGTGTGAAGGAGTGTGGGTGTGTGGCCGCCCTGGCCCTGGGAGCCAGTACAGGGCTTTGTGCTTCTGACCAGTCTCCAGCCAGGAGCGGTTCAGGCCAGAGCCGGCCTCGCCAGGGGACAGGGGGGTAGCGACCCGCCCCCTTCCTCAGGCTGTCGCCAGAAGGTGAACGCCCCACTGGAGGCCTGGGGGCCTTTCCACCAGCCAGGAAGGGACAAGGCTGAGCCCCCGGGGCCACACCCTGGCTGGACCTTCTTCCCAGAGCCGGAGCAGGAGAGCTCAGTGGTGGGTGCTGGTGAGGAGGGAGGGGGGCCGCCATCACTTCCAGACCGTCAGCTGGAGGCAAATGCGCCATGATCACCTGGGCTTCCGTCAAGGGCCCGATGGGGGGAAGCCGCTGGCGGACAGGGGCCCAGTCAGCCGTGGCCTCTGGCGGCCGCGGCTCTTTCCTAACTACCCACAGCTAACTCTGTCCGCGGCAGAAACAGACCCGGCTGCAGCCACAGTCGTCGGCATCAGCAGTTTACTTCAGCTCTCAGCTGGGACAGCGGACAGCCACCGTCACGGCAGCTGGGACAGGAGGCACCGCTCAGGTCTCAGCGAGGCAAGGCAGGCGGGCGGAGGCCAGGACAGAGGGACAGAGAAATGCCAGGTTCCCTGCGGGGTCACTGTTACCGGCCGAGCCCTCCCCACCGGGCGGGGGGACTGCTGGGGCCCGGGTGGGACGCAGCTTCTCATCCCTGCCACACCCTCCCATGGCCTTTGGGTGTGACCCGACTCTGCTGCATGGGGGCCATGTCCCAGGGCCCTGGCTGGGACATTCTGGGTCACCTGCAGCTCTGGGCTGCCAGGAGGGCTGGGTGGGGCGCGGGCAGGCAGACTCGGCCTGTGCCTTGCTGTGGGGGGACCAGGGTGGGGGGACCGGGGTAGACCAGGGGTGGCATCTCCAGTAAGACCCAGCTAGTGCCAGATGGGAAGCTGTCCCCAAGGTGGCCAGCAGTGGCCCACCTGAAACAGAACCTTGCTCCCAAAGGGCCCCTCAGGGGCCAGCTCAGCTGGTGACCACCAGGGCACGGGCAGGCCAGGCTGAACCCGGGGCCCCAGTGTGCGTGGGGGTGACGTGGGGGAACCGATGGGAAAGAGTGGCAGTGGGGGGCGAGCATGGACGTGGAGAGTTCCTGGCGACGCGCGTGGGCCAGCGCCGGCCATCAGAAGGCGAAGCAGAGCTCCTTGGCGTGACCCACGCGCTCCAGGTTGGGCAGGCAGGCGTACTGGATCATGGGCGGGGGGCCACACATCAGCACCAGCGTCTCCTCCCCGGGGGCCGGCAGGTGGTCCCGGATCATCTCCTCGTTCACGAAGCCCTGGCTGTAGTCCCAGGCTGTGGGCGAGAGACCAGGTGACTGCGGCTCGCTGACTGCCCGCTGCCCCCCACCCCCTTCCTTTCCAGCAAACACAGGCTGCAGAGGGTGACCAGCGGGCCCCACCCCAGCCCTGACACCTGTGGCTTTAGGCCCCGCCACTCGAGGGGCCAGGAGCCCTTCAGCGCTCCTTGCGCTGCACTTCAGTTTGCAAAGCCTCCTACCTCCATCTGGCCTCTCGTGGCCCCCACAACCACCCGTGGGCTGACAGGGCAGGGCGTGCTGGCTCCGTCTTATAGATATGGCTCAAGGTCATGCCAGGAGGCAGGGACAGTGGAGACACAAGCTGCAGGTCCACGGTCCCCGAGCCAGTGCCGGGCCCTGGGCAGGTCAGGGTGTGGTCCTCGTCCTCCCACAGGCTCTGGCCTGACTCCGCCCCCA